CTTCCTACAAATGCAGTCCTCCTGCCAAAAGTGTGAGTTGCCTTTTTCAAGTGTGAATACAATTGAGCTTTTATTAAATTTTGTACTGATCGTAAAATCACAGAATGTTTAGAGTTGGAAAGGACCTTAAAGATCATCTGGTTCCAGCCCCCTTGCCATGGGCAGGGACACCTCCCGCTAGACCAGGTTGCTCAAAGCTCTGTCCGACCTGGCTAATAATCAACGTATTGAAAAAATACAGCCTCTTTTACCAGAACTTTTCAAACAAAATCCAGAAGACCGTTAAGAGAAGTTATCAGCAACAGGGAATAGTCAGGATTGAACACAGCAAGTTTTCTGCTATACTGGTGGTTGCAACAGTATTGTTTACTCTTCCATGATGATGGTTTTGGAAAGTTTTAGCCAACAGCCGTATGATATTCAGGAATAATCAGTTTATGCTTTACACTTTTAGAAGAGTTTCCAATTAATCTTACTAAGCTGAAGAACATAATGTACTACTTGTTACAGGTATGTTCATATAGATGGTTTTGCCATTTATAGCATTTTATGATCAATAACCTATGGGTGAGTAACTTGATGTGCAGGTGTAAATCATGGTCAGAAGATTCCATGGGGTCAAAACCTTTGCTCTGCATTCAGTTTGGCTGTTACTTATCTGAAGGCATTTGAATCTTACAGCGCATTATGTGAGTTTCAGAATTTATCATCTTCCCTTATTTGCTATGGCAATGTCATGACTGAGGACTGTTTGTTTGTTTGTTTCCCCCCTCTAACAACAGCCATATGGAATTTCTATTATGATCAGAAAGTGAAATACAGATGCTTTCTTTATACACAAATCCCTTCGCTTTCCGTTGTGTACTGATTATCCTCCTAACACTACAGAGTACATAAATTTCATCAGGAAGATCATCACGAATACTTGTAATTAAGAAATATGTAAGGGATTTTGTACAACTGTCTTCCTGTTTTCAAAAAAGTAATCAGAAGAATAATTTGATCTTTTGCCAAATTTAGAAAATTGTATTCTGGTACCATAAGAGAAATCTGTACTCAGTGGTATCATAAGCTTGGAAAATAATTTTTATTAACATACAAAAAAGAATAAGGAAAATAGACATTGTAACTAAACATTTGCTTTCGTCTACAAATAAGCACTGTGAGTAATAAAACAATAAAATAATGCTTTAAGTTCTTGTAGACAGAAACAAAGGAAGGAACTTTCTGAAACAGAAGCAAGAGTCTTCTGAAATAGAAAATATTTGGCAATATCTTTTAGTCTCTCAATAAAATGTCCATGTAAACAAGTAATCCGTATTTACAATATCACATGCAATCTTCGTGGTTACATGTAGTAAGAAGTGTACATGTAGTTACCGTACATTCAATTGTAAAAGCTATTTTTTTAAATCTAGTAATTTTTCAGTTTCATTAATGTTGGGAAAAAACCACTGTTCTGCTTCTGTGTGCAGTACTGCGTGACACCATGGAAATACATTGAATTATGTTTTCTTCCAGGCATCTTTTAAGATTTTTTTAGAATTTTTAAGATTTTTTTTTTAAGATTTTTAAGAATTTTTTAAAATTGGCACTTTTAATGTTAGGTTTTGTAACTTCCTATGTTCTTACAGGAATCAAAATTTGGAATGTAAGCTCTACAATCACGTCCCTGTAAAAACAACACTGCAGAAGATTTCCAAACATGCTGAAAAATCATGATAAAAAAGCTAGAGTTCTACCTTCTATTTGTATCTTTTAAAATATACCTTTTTATTTCCCATGTTGCTACTGTTACACATAGATATGGGTAAGAAAAGTTGCATGAAAGGAAAGTTAATGGAAGGCTCCTTGGAGAAGCAGCAGTATGTTCTTTTCCTGGAGAAAATTACTCTCCAAAATCCTGTGTATTTTCGTTCAGCACTTGAGCTAACCTCGTGTGTTGCAAGGCTATTTAAAGACCTTTCTCATCAGTTTAGAACAGAAGCCAGAAGTCTACACATGTTCAGTCTGTTTTAACTTGCACACACTGAGGCTGAGCAAGGTCTAGGAGCTCACAGCCTCCGCATCTCATGGGAGCTTCCCAGAAGCAGCCAGAAGCCCACAGTTCCTACACCAGGTATCACTCATGGTGAGAATTTCCCAGAATGGAATCTTTCAGCTCCCACTGAGTTTCTAGTATCACGTTTAACCTCAAAGTTGTAAAACCAAAATATGGTCTGGCAGACTATGCTGAAAAGGCTGCTAATCCTTGATTTCCAATTAGTTTTATATCATCAGAACAGAGAAGTAAAGAAATGCCACCATTCTTTTTCAAGTATCATTACTCTTGAACAGCACATGGAATAAAATGGGTAACAGAAGGCATTCTGGTTACCATAGCTTAACTTCAACAGCATATAGAACCATTCACCTAAGAGCTGTTGATTTCAGTACATCCAAGTCAGCATTGTAACAAAAGAAATCACAGATTTTGTGGTTTGTTGTTTTCTTCCCAATGTACTGTACAGTTAGAGTTTCTTCCAGAACAATCCTTAGACAAGTGACTACCTTCCACACAAACATGCTTTTATTACATGACTTAGTGCTATGCAAGGATTGAATGAGTTCATTTTCACAGGTGGATGAGACAGAGTAACAGCACAGTACATACAAACTCAAAATGCTGTTGCCTGTGTGAGTGCAGCATAGAAAGCTAGCACAGTCAATTACTGCAACAGTGGAGTTCATTCAGTCACTTCACCTCTTATACTTCAAACGTGTTAATAGTGCATCTCTCACAAAGACTAAATGTGCACCCATCAGCTGTAAGATGCTTACTAATTTCACCAGAAAGGAGCCTTCTTGAGCAGAACATAACGAGATCAGAAGAAAGCACAGCTTAGTGTTCTCCAGAAGCTACTGTGAATCCTCCTTCCTTGGCTTCATGTTCAATACATAAAACTGTGAGAGCATGCATGACATAATCATGTTGTGTCAGTTGAGCACTAATGTCATGTAAAAGCAGCACTTTTTTTTTTCTCTCAGCTGCTATCAATACTATTTGGATTTTATGCTGAAGCTGCACAGAACAATTGTAGGGAAGATGGATGATCGTGTGGAACTTGAAAACCAGGGAAAAAGCTGTCCAATCCCTTGCACATAGAGGGACTGGAGGAGTGCTCACACAGTAAGACAGTATTGCTCCTGTCACACCTGAATGCTACACTAAGGCATTTAAAAGCAAGTGTTTTCTCAAATGAAACAATACACCAATGCCAGGTGGGTCTGAGGCATCCACAAGCATTTGTAAGTGAAAACACACAACTCCAGGATGGAGTCCTTGAGTACCAAATGGTCCAGCAGAGAAGTTTTTTAAATAATTTACTGTGTTAGCTTTCTGTACTGCATTCACCAAATAATGAAATGTTATAATGAACAAGTCAGATAAGAGACTGCGATGAACAACTGAGATGTTCATTGTCAGAGAAGATTCAAAATGACTCATGAACAAATCTGTACTAATGCAACATTGCAGTACAAAAATTGCATATTTTCTGAAGTTTAATATGTTTAAATATTTTAGAAAGCTGAAGTAGATAAAAATGTATGTAGTCTTTAAAAAATAGGAAATTATATGCTGTCCGAAACTGTCTATATCGCAACACGAACAGTGGTAAACTTGGACTTGTAGCAGGCTCTGCAGCTTTTACAAGAGATTATAATGGAAAGACTCATCATTTTGGACATGTGCAATCAAAATAACCTACTATAATTATTCTTCTATATTCATAAAAAATATAAGTATTGTTTATATCTGTGAAAATAATGAATGAGTATAACACATTAATACTCTGATTACTAGAAAGAGCTATAAAAGTAAAGTGCCAGTAGAGACTCAGACTGCATTATTGGACACTGCAATTTCAAATTAGAAAGTCATAGAGTTTATACAGTTTGCTTATGGACTAAAGTATCTTCACACCCGCAATGATAATGATTTTGACACCAGTGTGGCGATACCAAAATTGGCTTTTGGTTCAGGGGTAATATTTTAATCGCATCACCAGAGCTCAGCTGTTTCTTGAAGGAAGCATTTCTCACCTCAAGCTCCTTTCTTCTGCGAGACTGCGAGCAGTCTTCTCTGGTTTCTGACCCCCTAATTTCTACTCTAGTGCCATAAATCAATAGAAATGTGCAATCAAATAAAGGCAGTAAAATGAGGCCTTCTGGGAGAAGAGGAAGACTTGGTTTAAGTGATACATATTTTTTGAAGTATGTATCTTTAGTTTTCCAAATAAGACAAATTCTGCATTTGGATGTGTTAGAATTTCCTTAGATTTCAGTAATGATCGCACATAATCCAATGCCAATTCAATCCACGTTGTCTGTATACAAGATATTTGGTAGATGTGGTTAAACAGTAAACAAAATGTTCCGATGTAAAAATAAAGATTTTAAAGGAAACCTAAAATTTAATGAAGATTTCAGGCAAACTTTCATTTCTCTTTTTGAATTCAAAATTTTAGGCTAAACATTTTAATGGTGCAACTGTGTAAAGTGCTGCATGACCTCAAATCCCACAGATCTGAGCAGCTGGTGAGGGGGTTAATCAGCTTGAGAAATCAGGGCTTTAAAAAAGTTCACATTACCAGAAAAATTATGTGTGATCAACTAAATTCTGCTGCCTGGTATACTTCATGACTCTGATACATAACCTGCAAACTCAGAGCCAAATTTAGTCTCAATCTTGTTAACTTTTCAGGAGTGTAATAGATATAAGCATTAAATTAAGAAGAAAACATTTTCCAATTACATTATTTTCTCATTGTATCATGTCATTCATACTCTCCATTTTTAAGCAAGGACTGAGCATGAACCAATAAACTGTTTCACTCTTACTGGAATTTAAATTCATATGCAGAAAACTTGAGTATCTTTGAGCAAGCCATACTGAAAATAAAACCCCAACCTATTTATCTATCAATATAACTAAATTGGAAAGAACCTGGGGGGAGGCTGGCAGTAGAAAAGTACTGTTATTGTGTGTATTCTCTTTACATAGTTGATCGTTGGCCTGCTTCATCAAGTTTCAGGTTTTGTTTTCTGGCTGCTTCACTACTGATCCTCAGATCGGATTTATCTGCGTTACTGCCGTCCGTCATCGTGGATTCTGCTTCTGTGCCTTCAGGAGTCCCCCCAACGGGCTGCAGAAGTTTAGCGTTCTGTTCTGGGGGGCGCTTCCAATGGTCTCTGCTTGCCATCCACAAAATCAGGGCACCAAATACGACAAGCAAAAGGCCAAGACAGTTGACAAAATTTGCTTCTGGTGGGGATGCACTATATGCAGGACTTTTCCTTTGGAAGGGGTAAAAAAAGAAAAGGTCAGTTGTTTTAAAGACAATCCTGGTCTAAAAACAGCAGTCTCCTGCTAGGTAGGAGGTCTTTTTAAAACAAAACAAAAACCCAAACCAAACCAATGTCCCAGTGCTACATGGTTATTATTCTGTGCAAACAGCAGTACAGTTTCCAATGAATAACCTTAATAAACAAGTGAAATAAATACTCACAATGAAAAGATAAGCTTTTCTGTGATTCCCAGGAGAGCTGTTGCGATCACTGTTGCAAAGATGGTAAGCCCCGAATAAACGTGTATTGGCATGAGAGCTGCTCGGAGAGAAACTGGAGCAAAAGGGAGCAGAAAGATGGCGAAACCCAGGAAAAGCTAAACACAAAACAGATTCATAGTTAAAGCTATACGGGAAACAAGCTGCATTTCTCAAGCATAACAACATTCATCATAAAAGATCAATTTTGAGATGTCTTCAGGTACGAATGTGAAAAGATTTGGCATTTTTATTTCTGAATGTGCTTTCCTTCAAAACCAAAGCAGTAATTCTGGATTAGCATCTGGGAAGCAGACACGAAATATTTTATAAATAATCCTACCTAATATCAATGTCCAAACTTACTGGTAATGCTAAAACTGCAGCCAAACTAAGTACTGAAAACACAAGTTTTCAGTGTCACTAATTCAGCACTACATTAAAGGTGTGAATAGCTACATTTTTACAGTCTCTTCAAGTCCTGTTCTCTGCTTCTGTTACAGATGTACACATAAATGAAAAGCAGGAGGCAGTCCAACCTTCTGACTTGAGTGGACTAAATAATTTTACCTCGTTAGGGTTGTGGTTAAATTAAATTACATGGCTTTAGAAGAACAGTTGGCATTTACAGAGTGAGGATCTGTGTGGGTGACGTGAAGTTGTTCAGGGGACACGAGTCCTCCCATTAGCGCTGATTTTGTAATGGGAGATAACGCATCATGCCATGTGGCTGCAGTCCCAGGCTTGCCCTTCTTTGGTTTGTTCTACCTGCTGCTAAATTAGAAATAGTGAATTGGTATTTCATCTTGCTTTAACTTCCAGTCTTAGTCCTTGTTTTGTGTTTCCATGCTGGATTAAAGAGCCTGGTATTTTCTCCCTGGGAAGCCTTTTAATACGCTGTAATCAAGTAATCTCTTAATTTTCTTTAGACCTGCTAAAACAGTTGGAGCTTTATATATTTTTCACTGGAAGATGGTTTTCCCAGCTCTCAAATTACTTTTCCAGGTTTTTTTAATTTTAACTTTTTTTTAATATTTAAAAAAAATGATTCCATGATATTTAATATTAGTTTTGCCAATGCCATATATGGAGGTTGAGATAATACCTTTGAGCTTTGTGTCATAGAATCATGGAATGGTTTGGGTTAGGAGGGACCTTAAAGTTCACCTCGTTCCAACCCCCCCATCATCTTGGAGTCCTTTCCAGAGACATTGCTTTCCAAGACACAGTCTTCATTTCACGTTTCTGCCCTCTTCTTAAATTTATGTCCTTGGCTATACTGTATTAACATACATTTGGCTACTGTTTGTTTAGGTATAGTATTATGTGAGCATAATACTTAATAATTTTTCAATGCTGAGACTGACATAGTATTTTCTGGCAAATGCCAAGTGTCTTCTCTATGAATGGAGATACTGCTTTATGGCTGTTGTTTAACAGTAGTGCTCTATCACCTAACAACCATCAACTGCAGGCTTACATCCCAGTTTGGGGGAAGTAACACCACAGTTCTACTGATGAGACAGGCAAGGCATTGAGTGCCATTGATCATGTTTATAGTAGCAAAATGACAAGTAAAATTAAGATCTTATTTACAATTCATTACCTTGACCATTAGAAAAAATGTTGATACTAAGTAAAGTGGCAGCACAGATTTTCCTGAAATAACTGCGTTATTAAGACAAGGAAAATCTTAACATTGTTCCTTGTTGTTCATTAACTGGTGTTCAATTATAAAGAACAAACTCAACAATCCTGGAATACTCTTTCTCTTTTCGAAGTGTTACAATCACTATTTCAGCACTATTTCCTGTACCTCCTAGCCTGAGCAGTGAAGGATAAAAGTCCAGAATGCAAATCCCTTGGCTGAGGACTTTCTGTGCTTTGTGACCAGATAATTAGGTCTTATTTTTTTTTCTTCTTAGTGTTTTGTCAAAGAAAAAAAAAATCAAGAAGAAACGTTCAATTAATTTTAAGAACCAAACTAAATTTCCATGGTGTCATAACAAAATACAGGAATTCAGAATGCATATGCAGAAACATCACATCTGTATGTGTGCACTAAATGTCAAGGCATGCCTGCTCTTCTTCTATGCCAAAGGTAAAACATACTAAGTTAGCTCATTTTAGACTATGACGATCCTAATTCTCTGCCCTTAGGAGCAGTGAAAAGCAAGCACATGAACATATAGCAAAGTTCTGCTTATTCAGCAAAATGGGTTTGCCAGTAGTAGCTTGTTCAGATAGATGTCAGATCCTTTAGCTCTGCACCGCTCCCTGCTGCACTTGTTCTGCTGATAAACAAAAGTATTGAGGCCAAGAAGTTACTACTTAAAATTATAATAGCTGGGGAAAAAAAGGCAAAACAATTACCTAATTTGAGACTGCCTTAATAAAAGCTCTAACTGTCCTGAAATACCCTGCCAACAAACCAAATCACTTGCTTTAACTTCAGCAGTTTATAGAGCTTAGAAACACGTTACTGTATAACTGAATAGTAAATTAATGTCATTATTCCAGCAAATAAACAAAGTATGCTTTAAAATACATTTTTCTTTGAAGCCAAAGTATTTGCACATTTACATGCTAATTTGCCAAATCACAGAATGTAAAATGGGTATCCCAGTAGTTACACTGGATTATTGAGGGCCTGTTGTGCCTGAATTACTCAACACATTCTTCAACCTGTTTATAAATACAATTAGATTCTGACCTGGAGAGAATAAAATATAACAGCAGTCAGCCCAATCCAGCTGTGCAGACTGTACATGTTAGGAATGTTCCTGGCATTGTGGAAATCAAACACGGCTACCATAGAAACAATCGCAAGAATCATAGCTATGGTATTTAATCCAGCATGTATGAACTTCATTAGGGGTTTGCTGCACCTCCAGGTCCAGGGCAACCTGTACACAATAATAGCTGAAAAAAGAACAGAAACAAGATTTTATGCCTTATTGGATTTTAATAATCAGGCATCATTCACATAGTTCAATTGTAAATTACAGGAAAATCCAACCTTTAATCCTCCCAAAAAAGACAACTAAAAGGCTTTTTTCCCCCTACACATAGCATAGCGTATTCCAAATATACAACTGAGGCTTAAATATACTTTTTTTTCTTCCTAGTTTAAAAAAAACCTTAAGCGCATTTCAAAACAAGAACAGTAAACAACGTGGTGTGGTCTTTTCCTCATTCCTTAAATTGATCTAACAGGGATTCTGCATAGGAGTTTGATTTTTCTGCTACTAGTCAGATTGGAGGAATAGGGCCCGATGCTTATAGCCAGAAGACCACCTATTGAGAAAGTGTGCAAGATTATTTTTTAACATTTATTCACTTTGCCAACTTTGGATAATGCTATCCTCTAACGGTGTATATACCTACATGACTATCTACATCGCTGATATTAATTAGGACTACTCCAAATGGGCAAATGCTACTCAGCATAAGGGAATCATAATCTGACTCTTGAGAGACAAAAGGATTTGGCAACTACAGCTCTTCCAATACCGTGACCTGAATGTAAGACGTTTTTGCCTATATTTGCATTCACAACTCAAGAGGACACTGCTTTGTCCACTCTGAACTAAACAGTTTCTAGTGATCTGACTCCAGATGGTCCGTAAGAATAACTTAGCCTAGAGCTGCTTCTTGCCAACTTTCCTCAAGGTCCCCACTGCTCCTTCTCTGCCCCCCGCCTGTCGTATGACCCAGGTGCTTTCTACAGGGGACACACTCAGACCAGATTAGATCCCTGAAGCCCCAGCTACATCTGATCACAAACTAGGTAGCAATTCTGGATGTGCAACAGCACCTAAGTATATTCAGACAACAGGGGACAAATATTTACGAGGAGACCTGATGGCTTGACCAATGAAGGCTAATGCCCACATCCAGAATGTCTTGCCTGAGCCAAAAGACTGAGCTCCATTCATCTGATTGATCACATCCTTATTTAAGGTTTCTCCTTAAGAAATTTTTATCTATAATTCAAATCTTTATAGATAATTAACTATACTACAACAAAAGAATAAGAATATATTTAACTGAAGTGATTCTCATGTGCCTTACTCATTACTTCTCCATAACCCTAGTTTTTGATGCAAAAATCCTAGGTTATGGAAAATGAGGAGGACAGTCATTCTGTATGTTGTGATGAATAACGATAAATGACAAATTAATTTCAAAGTTCTGCTTACACTTTTCTTAGTTGGACACATGCCAGGAAATACAGTACCACACGAAATAATTCACAAAGAAAACACTGTTCACAAGTGAAATTTCCAGGCTAGGATCACATTTTAAATCAATGTGTGCTTTTACATACTGTAGGAAAATATAATACTGGAGTGAACGTGTGCCTTAGAACATTTAAATTTGTACAGCACTTTGGTAGTTTTCAGCTTTCTACTTTTTAGAAGTAACAACAGTAAATTCTACAAAATCAGGAAGATGGAAGCCTTGTTTCTAAGACAGTTTGACAATAACCAATCTATGTGACATAGGTATGATTCGGCACACCAAGCTTGTGATCACCTCCAACGTTATGATAGTCTTCTGTTTTGTTAATATTGGAATAATTGCCTGCATCAGACTAACTTAGTACTAGTGATGATGATTTCTAATTTTGTAAAGCAGGTATGCCAAAAGGCTGCAAACAAGCCTGAACATCCCATGAGGTTATTCCCAGTAAATCTGCCTTGCTCCATCTAACAATATGGCCCATAGAACTGTCAGTCATTTATTCCAAGTGCAGCAGAGCACTTGAAGTAAACTTGTTGTGCGTAGGTCCTGGTTTCAGTTTTCAGTCTTTCATCTCAGAGGGTCAGGTCAAGGCTAAAATTTTTGTATAACATTTTTCTGTGGTGCATAAGATGCTGCCATCTAGTTGATTAAACTTCCAAAATTATTACCAAACTCCCTAGTCACTTGTCCACATAGTTTTTTATCTCTGTCTGGGCCATGAATTTTCTGGGCTGTATCCCATAAACAGCATGATGGGAAAGCAAGGAATACAGACTAATACCATGCATGAGCATGTTACGTGCTACAGCCCAGGCCATATGCATGATAGCACAATTTGACATTTAATCCTCTTTCCGTGAGGGCTCTGTGTGAAGTTATACATTGCAACTTGAGCGGATAGGAGTGTTTACCACTGTGAAAAGACAGCCCCATTTCCCCATCACCACTTTTGTTCCACTTCTGTGTGCTTCTCCCTGCCTCTGTCCTAACTGGTGCTTTTCTGACCAGCAGGAGGAAGCCGGACAACCTGGGGAACAAAGGGGAGAGCAGGAGGAAGATTCTGCTTTCAGTGGTGCAAGCTCTTAAACAAACTGACTCAGACATGATGTGTCATTTAATCTCAAAAATAAAACAGCCAGGGTTAAAAGCACATACACAAGTACAGCATTTTTAGTGGTGACGTGCTAAAGCAGCCCTGTGAAGAACCTGCAATATCTTCTGTCTGGTATGGGACAGCTGTTCTTTGCCAAATGTACAAAGCAATTTTCCAGAGTTAGCTCCACATGCTATATGGAGATGTTATGGACTGCTCATGAGGTGCACCTTAGGAGGCACAGAGCATGGCTCTGTGAGTGCACTGGGGTGCACTGCACAGCACCTCACAGCTGCCAGAAAGGAATGTTCCTCTTTACTCCTCCCATTTCCTCTCCTGCTCCTTCTTGGCTGAGCCTGTTGCTTACCTTCGGCAAGTTCTGAACACCCACGAGATTCTTTGGGAACCACTTTAACACCAGAATGGACAAGTGCCCATTTATGATTTTGAAGGGACCCAAACTAAGCCATCAAGAGAGCTGCCTTCTCACAAGCTGCCTGTGATGAGACCCTTACAGCTCAGCAGCCGTTTGCCCTTCCAATTCGTGAGAATTCTGCAGCCCATGGGATGTTAGAAACTCCAGGATTTAGCTGGTTTTCCTTTGAACTCATGTTCGGTTATGTGTGAAGCAGAGGTAATCATGTTTGACAGATAACTCAGAGCAAGCATTATCTTCAGATGTGATTTCAAGATTAAAGACTATGTTTATTTTAAAATAGATTTGCACTCCTCCTCCTTGCTTCCTCCCATCTATGGCACTTCTGAGTCCCTTCGTGCAGGCAATTCAGCATTCGATTCTGGCAAAAACTGTACTTGGGGTGGTGGATGTGTGGGTGTTAGTTTTCTGCTAGTTGCATTAATTCAGTTTATAGGTTTGACAAGGTCCAGAGCTGGCACAAACAAACCAACCAGTAGTAAGATGTGGTCTGAGTCAAGGAAAAAGGTGAAAGGGAGAGTGGATGAGAAAAGTTGGAATATTTCAACTCCAGTGAGCTGTGAGATTGTTTCACCCACCTAGGTAATTTCATCCATACAGATGAAATCAATTGACTGTCACACCATATGGTAATGTGGCAGACCAGGATTTTTCCTTCTCTTTTCTCTTTAAGAACTCTTACAACATTCCTG